TTTTTGTAGATACAAATATTTAAGTAAATGCTCTGTTTATAATAAACAGTATTTATAACATTTACCGACTTAAATATTATTAATCTCTCTCTCTCTCTATATATATATATATATATATATATATATATATATATGTGTGTGTGTGTGCAGATATGTAGAAAAATAGGAAAGAAAACGTTACGTAAATAATCCGGAGTTCTTTAGTATTTTTGTTTTTATTTTTTAAAAAAACAGAAACAGTGCTCCATACAGAAGTAGAGCTTAAATTATAATTATTTAAAAAAAATATGATTCCTTCGCTACATAAGAGTTCTCATGTTTCAAAAACAAGAGCCAAAAACCTCAATATAATTATTGAAATTAAACTGAATTAAAGTATCAAGCCCTATTTCATCCCCAAGCGAAAATTTAGGAATAACCAATCTTGAAATTTATGCATCTTTATAAGCATAAACCTACATTAACGCGTCGCACTGAACTACAATTTGTTTGGGTTTTTTTTGACGACTTCAGTTTAGGTGTTGAAGGTGATACGTTTATTATGGGACCGATTTCATAAGTCTTCATTATATACACCCTCTGTGGCACGGCACACGTCAAGTCGCTAGTTAAGCTCTTGCCAAACATGCTGATGTTGATGATGGTCTAGCAGATCCTTTATCTCTGCATAAGCAGCCTTTCTCTATATATAACGAACACAGCTGGAACTGAATACTTTATTTAATCACTACCCATGTCTAAGCTAGCTCTTAGCAATAATTCTACTTGTCCCTTTCCACTGAGTCCAAGTACACACTGCCCGACCCAGGGATTGAACTCCCAATTACTATATCACTAAATTTACAAAATTGACTAGTCTATTGTTCCATAGGATAATTCTCTGTGGAGAACTTGGAGCATTAAACCTAACCTTCCCACTGATGATTACTCTTGCTTCTGCTTATCATAGTTGACTGCACTCCTATAGAAATTACATATTGGTTACCATGATCGATGTACACCTGAAGAAGGCTGGAGAGTAGAACGGCTGAAAAGCTGTGATAAAAACAAAGAAGACAATATATAAAAAGTATAAATAATACACTTTGAGTTTTATATCTTCCTCCGGTTGACTATTGCACCTGGTATTGGATGTGCAATAGTATATAAAAAAAAAATCTCGTGTTTGCTAGGGGGCCTTTAACTTTAGAAATCGGTCAAATGAACCGATAGATGAATTTCATCATAAACTGTGTTTGATGTTATATTTGCAAATACAAACACGCAAAGACAGACACGCAACTTTATATATTTGATTAATTGCCAGGGCCCTGAGCATACGCGCGCGCGCTTGCACGAACACACACACACACACACACACACACACACACACACACACACACACACACACACACACACACACACAATGTCAGACAGATAGAAACAGGGTTTTATATATTAGACTAATGAAGAAAAGAATGCACCGAACAGTATCTGATGTTGGCGTCGATGAAGATCACGGTGGAAAATCACGTGACACTGATGAAGATCATCTGATATCCGAAAGAGCGTATTAGGACAGTTAAGAGAGATAAAAGATAGGAAGAAGAAGAAGAAGAAGAAGAAGAAGAAGAAGAAGAAGAAGAAGGAGCAGGAGGAGGAGGAGGAAAAATGGGGTAAGAAAGTGAATATAAAAAGAGATAGATTAAGAGAGTAATAAAGATAAGCAAAGAGAAAGAGTGATAGATAGATAGAGTGACAGAGAGAGACACAGAGAGAGATTAATGGTAAGGAAGAAAGAAGAGGAAAAGAGTGAAAGCAAGGGAAATGAAAGAAAGAAAGCAAAACACAAACTTAGGAAGGAAGTAGAAGATAGAAATGAATAGAAAGAGGGTTATAGAAAGTATGAGGGCAAAAGGTGGGAAAAATTGTGAAGGCCACAGAAAAGACAGAAAAATAGAATACATGAGAGAGAGAGAGAGAGAGAGAGAAAGAGGGAGAGAGAAAGATAGAGTATGATTAGAGAAAGGGGAAGAGTGAGAAAGAGAAAAAAAAAGAAGTGAAATGCAGAAATAAAAAAAATAGCGCGAAAGAGAAAAGAAAATGATGCATACAGGGGAGATAAAACAATGATATAAAGTGGGTTGAAGGGAAAGAGAGTGACCGAAATACAAAACAGAGAGAGAGAGAGAGAGAGAGAGAGAGAGAGAGAGAGAGAGAGAGAGCAAAAGAAGTGAGAGAAAGAGAACAGAAAAGCAGGTGAGAGAGAAAGCAGAGCGAGAAATAGACATCGATAGAAAAGGGGGGAGAGAGAGAGGAGTGACAGGGAATGAGCCATAAAACTAACTTATAGACATCTACACATTGAAAAGGCTAGATATGTTAACTTAGAGTTACACTACCGTGCGTTTATGTGGAATAATTTGGTATAATTTAACCTGATTTTGAAGAAAATTATCAGACCACCCGTTTTGACAAATCATAGAAAAAAAAAAGATAATAAAATTAAGTTTCTTTCATG